TACAGTGCAAGTTGTGTTATGCAAACATTGACTACTCTGTTAATATGTGAATAATTAAGTCTGAATGAAGATGATAAAATGTCATTTTCCAAACATCATAATAAGAGCTGCCAAAAACATTTGCAAGACTTTAAATGCAGAATAGCTGTGTAAAGATTTGCATACAAACTGGTGTACCATTGACCCATTTATCCCATTATTTGCTTTTCCACTTCTGAGAATGTCACAACTAATCACAAAACAGCTAGAGAAAGGTCTTCAGGAAAAACAGTGAAGGAAAAGGGAACAATAATTTCTTTAACTACATATTTTCTGTAATTTAAGTACCCACTTCTGTTCTGCAAAGGCCATAGAAGTTAGTAAGAACCTGTGTGTGTAGGAGAAGTGCCTTTCTATCCTTTTCCAGCCCTTCCTCATGAATCTGTTAGGAAGTTCAGAGAGGTTTCTCAATAGTCTTTAACAAAGGGATTGTCTTAGCATTCCTGTCTGGAGTTCTGAGCTGCTCAATAGGCCAGTAGAGAGGCTGAAACTCAGGCTTCCTTTTTAACAGGCAGATAAATTATTGCTGCTTTTTATACATGGTGACATTGGAGATAAGAGTTAATGATCTCTCTGAGAAGTCAAGCTATTTGCTGGATATGTATTTCATACAATACCTTCCATTTTCCCATGTATTTGCTTTAGGAAGATTTATTGACACATTTTGTGGACTTCTGCCATTCAGAAATCTCTGAAGTGTGGAGCTTAAAACAAACAGTGTGGCTTCTAACACTTAAATGCTTTTGTTGCCAAATTTTGTTTAAGACTGTGGTGCTTTGGCAGACTGAGGTGTTGCCCTGGGAACACTGCTGAAGTCCTGAATGTTTCACTCTTTCTGTCCTAGTAACAGAGGTATTACTAGGTTCATTTATGAAGGCTTGCATTTCTCAGTGTAATGAAACTTATGTTCATAGTAAGCTTTACAAGATCAACCAGTGCCTTCCTACTTAATTGTTAAGGCAATTAATTTTGTTTGTTTGGGGAGTTTTGGGGTTATAATCTCATTTCCTTCCTGTTCTTAAATATCCATATGAATATTTTCTTGTGGCTTTACTTGTTTCAGTGTAAAACTATTGAAAAAAAACTATGTTTTAAAACAGAAATATTAATTTCATTAATGTTTTGACTCCAGCTCTGCTTTCTTCTCACTTTTTCCACCGTGACCTTTATGATAAAGTGGTTGACATCCATCAGCATCTGCAGAACCTCTAAGGTAGCTGGAAGACTCTCTTCTCCTGCTGTGGACATGACTGTGAACACTCTGGAAATGGGACAATCTAATGTTTTGGCCAAAACAATGTGTTCACCCGTAGCTGAGAATCACCTAATCATTTCTGTGGGAAAGGACATCTTGGTGTTTGGAAGAACACTAGTCAGAACAAGGGCAACCTGCAGCTGTTCACATTCAAGTATCATAAACAAAACTTGGGCACAGCCCATTAAAAATGCAGCTGCTAGAAAGTGGGAGCTTACTTGTGAGAGACCGGCGAGGGCAGGGTTGCTGCATGGGCGTGAACGAGCACAGCAAAGTCAGCCCCAGCCTCGGGGCATCCGGGCAGGGCAGTGACAGCGACGGGACGTGCCAGCAGCCAAGCTGTCGTCAGGTGACAGCCAGCTAGGGAGCCTCGTCCCAGCTGAGTCTGGGAAATCCTCACGGTGGTGCAGGGAAGTAGTGGGGTCACCATTTCTGGGGATACTTACAAGGCGGACTTGGTTCAGTCTGGGGCATGGTTTAGGGATGGACTGGCAAAGCTGGATTACTTGTTGGGCTCGGTGGCCCTCAAGGTCTTTTCCAAACCGAACGACTCTTTGATTCTCTGACTGACAGAGGGCAGACGGCTTAGGGAGCAGCCCAAATGGGCCTCATGGGCGGAGGGCTGAGGGGAAGCTCCTCAGCGCCGGTTTGAACAGTGCCTAAATGCGCTCCGATGCGGCGCTCTGAGATGCACTTTGCTTTAGTTATCTTTATATTATCGTTATTCATTTATCCCTCCCTCCCTGCCCCCGTGCACTGACGTAAAGGATCTTTCCTTCCTGCCACTGATTGACAGCCGGAGAAGCTGCCGCTGCTGTTCCCTGTCAGGACCGGCCCGGGCTCCCCGGCGGTGCGGGGCGGCGCTCCCCGGGAAGGCGGCGCTCCCCGGGAAGGCGGCGCTCCCCGGGAAGGCGGCGCTCCCCG